TTTTAAGTTTGCACTTCTTGATGATTTATGATGCAAGATAAATGAATATGGGATTGTGGTTAATAAATGAACTAATAACTGTGCAATCGGGAATAATTCCACGATATGATTTACAGAATTTACATGCATGTATATGTATAGAATTTACACGTATATATATGTGTGTGTGTGTGTGTGTAAGTTCAGTACTGTGTATTATTACACTCTTGTGTATATATCAACTCTGTGGTACATGGAAGTTGATTTACACGCATTTGCATTATATTAATTATTCATTCCTAATTGTAGAACTAGAAAAGTTTGAAACTTTTCATTTGTTTCCACATCTGTCTATTGAGGCTTATCTTTCATTCTACACTTATGCATTCACTCTCAAACCATATACACGGTAAAAACATCCTTCCAAAATTACATTATTGACTGAACAATTAACAAAAACATAGTTAGTAAGTATTTTTAAATATTATTTTCACTAATATTTAAAACAATTGTAAACACACAGTTAATAGGTAACGACTTATCGAGACTTACTATGATTATATATGTACATATAATATATTTATATATATTATCTTATCATTCATTCTACTTATGCATTCACTTCACTTATGCATTCACTCTCAAACAATTTAAAACAATTGTAAACACACAGTCAGTACATATCGTTTGAGCCTAAGCTATTATTATATGTGTACATAAAATATATCTTGTCCCCTGTCGGATTGTAACACATACAATTAGTTAACAGTAACAAAATGAATATATATAAAATATAATGTCTAGAGTATTGACTAGAATTCCTTCTCCTTCGTCAAATTTTTCCGACTTGAAAAAATGAGGAACGGGGCCATTCTAGAGGCGACCTCAACAATTAGTCGCATATTGTGCATACCGTGCGAATTCTATGTGTAGATTCTGGCCCACGTCTTACCTATGCTACTATATGGAGGTATATACTCGCATCATTGTATGTAAAGGGCTTAGATTTGTCTCTATAGCAGCATCTGACTTATTTTTCATGTCTTCTTGCAAAATTTCGCTTAGTACTTTCTTAGCCGTATTGTTGTCCATCTTTAATATATTGGTTGTTTTCACAGCCAGTTAAAATGAAATAAAATGAATAAATAAATAAATATTAAACATTTAGTCATTTCATTTTATGAAGTTTCTAATAATTTCATATTACCTAGTGATTGTAGTCTATGAATTTGTTTAACATTTCAATGGATAACCCAAGGGCCATTATTGAAATCGTCAGAACGTTTTCCTGTTAGGCTCTTTAGATTCTCTACTATATAATAATCCCCCTTCACCCTATCACTATTTGCACTACGACTGCCCTTAATGTATTTAGTCTGGCCTTAATAAATCCAGTGGTTTTAGTTTGTTCATTTTCTCTTGGTATCCTTTATTGAAGCTGTCTTTATCCTTGTACCTCACTATGACGTTAATCACATGGACCTTGTTATGATTTTTTGTGACCAAATCTGATTTACATAGATCTGCAATTACATTCACAGCAGATTCCTTGAATACTGCGGTGGGACATTTTCTGCAATCACGTCCCTTATCTCATCATATCTTTTCATTCTTCTTGATTTAGTAGATGTACCGAATTATGGCACATGTGCTCTGCATATATATATTAATTTGCTTCATTTAAACTGTATGTTGGTCCATTTATCACACTGATAACGTGATAATTGATTTACACACATTTGCATTATGTTAATTATTCAGTGCAAATTTTGAAGTTAGAAAAGTCTAAAACTTTTTATTTGCCCTCACATCTGTCTGTTGAGGCTTATCTTTCATTCTTTCTTCATTCACTCATACGTTCACTCTCAAACATAAAACAATAAAGACAAAGTTAAATTGTTAATTAAACAGTTGTGCTGCAAACACACAGTCATTAAGAATCAATTTTTGATTATTATAGTGTATTAATCCTGTCTTTATTTAACTTAAATCTGTGCCCCCCTCATTTCTTACATTATTATGACTATTGTTTTCTGTAAAAACAATAAACTTCTATCTTTGCTGTTTGAACGTCAGCCTAGATGATTGTTTACAAAAGTATTAATGTCATATATAATACAATCTTTCTATCGTGCACACATATGTTCGATGATCTAAGTAAAAAGTTTGATGAGCAAATTCATCTGTCTAAATCTTCTTTCCACAATTTGTAAAGGTTTTCACTTTGTAAAGAATTTTATACTTCAAGAAGTATAATACACAAGTATTCATTAGGCAGTGTTGTATATATGCTTTTAAGTGTATTATAAGAGAAATAAAGTAAAAATACCAGATAAATACAAACATTAAAAAAAATTTCTAATGAATTTCAATTATAAACAGTTACATAGCTGTTGTCCACTTATTCAAAATATAAATACAATTTACATAAACTGCATGTCAATACTGCCAATGAAACAAGCAAATATTCAGTTTTTAAGTGTCCTTGAGAATAATAGTAATGAAATTTCCTCCATAATAGTTATGAAATGAGATGGATTTCTCAGAGGAAATTTCCAGTGTCTAGAAATTATATTCCATTGTCGTCGTCGGGTTTGCGCTACCACTTTAAAGGCAACTACACCAGTTATTATTTGATCTTCACCACGAAGCACCTTGTACCTTTTTCCTTTAATCCCAATTTGGATAGTTTGCTTCGGCGAACCCTGGATTTTCCCTGCTATTTAGCTCAGGAAAAGGGAAGTGGAGCCCTCTTGCGACTTGTGCCAGTTTCGTGCCAACAGGCCCCAGGGGGAGGTACGTACTACGACTTGAGCCACAAGAGATTATTGTATTGCGATTCGTGGTCCCCTAACTTATGCTTTCTTCTCTTGCTGATAGGCGTTGGGGTACGATTTATCTAGGTGGCAGCATATTCCTCTGAAATCCCAAATAAAACAAGATTTTTAGTTTCTTCTTCTTAACAATTGTCGTTGTTCAGATTTATTTGAGAGTTTGATTGTTGCAATTTTTGCCTGTTTTATAGGTTATCCTATCTAGCTGGACTACGATACAGCTGTATACTAATACAGTCCTTTATCACACACGTCTCTTTTACCATTGCTGGAAAAAGAAGATCTCTATCTCCTTATTACACACAAAAGTAAAAATGAAACTTTCTCACGAGTAATTGACTCGTGGATACTTTACTGATCATATCTCACAATTAACAATGTCATTTTCATTTACAGAAGATGTGATTACCATCATTCGACTGTGTAATATTCAATTTCACGTCCTTTTGTGCCATTTTGATACATTGAATACTATTAGTCATTAAATATTGGTGCTCAATTACTAATGTAAGTGAAACCGTGAAGATTATGGATGATACTAATAAAAATGTACAATTCAGGCTGTTAAGGTCACTCACGACTGTGTCGATCATGTACCTTTGCCTGGTCACTTGATAGTCAAAAAACCATCCATTGATTGGGAAATAAGGTGAGCCTGTCTTGAATAATACTTATTTTATTTCTACAATACATGCTTATAATACTTACTTTATTTCTATAATAAGCTGATGTAACTCTCCAATTAAGTCTCTTATTATAGAGTTTATTATAGAAATAATTAATATAAAATTAATGTAAAACAAAATGTACGCAAATTAAATTACTAACTAGGGCTTAGTATCTTTAATACTTATTGTCCCTATAATATTTATATTAATAGCATACATAAATAATAATGTAGCAAATAAAAGATAATAACAGCATGTATCATAATGATATTGTAATGATGTAGCAACAGTGTGTACAAAATAATAATATAGTAATAGCATATATGAATAATAGTATATTAATAGCATAATGATAAATGAAAATCGAAGGAACATCACGTTTTCATACTATAATGTATGATAGTAATGATTGCGAAAATATATCAATGAATCTTCACTAAAAAATAAATATTTTTTGTTCAATACCTGGTATAAAAATCTTGTGTACATAATAATAGTCTGAACCTAGCCACAAGTAAATTTGAAATACTTACTGCGGACCGTGTTCATTAAGTTGTTAACAGAAACAAGTGACTTATACTTCAGATATCAGAATACTTCAGAAATTTGGTCAATATTACCATTGTCATTACAATGATAAAAAGAAACTAGTGCATGATAGAATATGTAAAAATAGTTTCATACTTAATTTATTATCAAATTAACTTTTTCAATAAAAAAAAATTATTTTTTAGAAGTATGTTCTTAATTGCTTGGGCCATTTTCTACAGTTCAAAGTAACTGTTAACAATTTACATATACATGTCATTCTGTTTACATATGATTGTGGCTTTGCATTGCTGAGTGTACCAAATGCTGAAACCTTTCCTCGAGTCGCCGAGAATCATTTTCAGGTGGAGGTATAGAGGTTACTTCCGGTCGACATGATCACCTTAGAATTGTCGTCACCATCTCTAATTGTAGAATGTACTGGAGATTATAAATGATACTCAGAAGTAAAGACAAAAGTTAATTGAATTCTATGCTATCGAACTGCAGCGCTTTTATGATTTATAATTGTTATATTATAATTATATAAGCTTCTCTCCGTATCGAATTCTTAAAACTGCAGGGAAAAATAATAAAAAATTAACACGTTTTCACGTTGTTGCAACATAATCTCACGCATTTTCATTGGAGTGATTGAAAGATAGTTTTACTTATTTTCCAGATAATTTTACACATTTTACTGGGGCAATTGAAATTGTTACTTTTCTTTTTATTGATTTTTGTTATTTCTCTTTTTCTTTTTAATTACTTTTTGATTTCTTTTTTACTGTTTTTCAAGGCATACAACATTGGGAATCCACAATCAGATCCTTTAAATATCATCTCAAGCACGTGAGGAGCAACGAAGGCATAGTTAAGATTGTCAAAACCTAATGACAAATTACAGTATTCCTCTCGTAAGTGACCATGCGTAACTGACCAGCGTTTATCCCCACTAATTCTTTGAACTTAAAATTATCCCCACTTACCATGCGGCCGCGTGAAACATACATTGTAATTGTTTGTAGTTAAATATTTCCTTAATACATGCATTAATAATTATACTAAATTACATTAAATAATAAGAATAAATAATGGTAAAAATATTACAGAAAAAAAATAAAAATTATTTTGAATTGTAATAATCTATTTTACATGCAGATTTAACTCTGCAAAATGGAACAATAGTTTGGATAGCCTCTGATGAAGGCATCGTTGGAAAAGAAATGGCAGACTTGAATACCAAGGAGCACCCTATCACTAAGTCACCTCTATCCCATATCAAGAACTTGTACACCATGAGAAAACCAACATCAAGAATGAATGGAACGTTAAGTCAAATCTATGAACATTAAGTCAAACGAAGATCCATAACATAGTAAAGAGACTTCTAGCAAGAGATTTTTTTAGGAGACCAATCAAAAGAAGAAAAAATTATGCTGGTTTGATTCAGAGAACACATGAAAGTAGAAGAAAACTGATCATTCTATTTCTGCAATAGATATTGCAACTCAACACATTCTATGAATACACAAACTTTGAATGACAGAGAAGACTTCATAGAATTAATCCCATCACTGCCCTGACTTCCCAAGATCAATTGAAGAGGATACTTGATAGATATAAATCTATACTACAAAATATAAGTACCATGTAAGTACCTAGTCGATAATGACCTTGTTGATGTGACTTTAAATCTGCACAAAAAAAAATCTGAAATTTCAATGTCTTTCAGAGATGACAACTCTAGATGGTCAAAGAGAAAAATTTGATTGACTCTCTCAATAGTCATCAAACTGGACTACTTGTGTCTCGTGTTTATGGAAGTTTTGGTCAATAGGAGTTGTTATATTTGATTGTATTTGGTCTCTAAATAACCATCGCAACACATGTTACACAACACAGTACTTTCTTGCTTACACAATGTATTTTCCTGGTAGCTTGTAATTGCTATTTATTCACTATTTCATTAATTTAAGAGTGTCTTAAGGGTATTCGCCGGAAGAAAACCGATGAAAGAAAATGCTAAAAATAGCTTCAGAGCCTGAAACAAAAATAAAATACAAACATATGTAATATATTATGTTATGTTAATAATCATACTGAACAAACACTCCAACGATAAAATTATGCAAATCGGCCAACATATCAATAATCAGCAAATTCATTCAAGAATCCCTCAGGCATAAACCAAATCACAGGTGCTCAAAGCCATGTGGTTACATAAACTAATGTAACTCTTCAATTAAGTTAATTGTAAAAATAATTAATAATAAATTTACTATTATTTATTAATTTATTAATCATATAAATTATTTATTATAAGCTTATAAATTTATTATAAAAGTAATTGACAATTAATAAACGAAATGTACGCAAATTAATTTAGTAGCTGTTAGTATGTTTAATACTTATTGTTTCTATAATATTTGTATTAATAATATAAATAATAATATAACAGTGATATAAGTGATATAACAGTATATACGAAATATTTTATTTACACTATGAATATATACTAACAGACATAAAATAATAATATAATAATAGCGTATATAATATAAAAAAATAGCAATCAATTTGTACACCGTAAGTAAATAATTACACAATCAATCATTGCTTAATTTACTATCAAAAACAGCGTAGGTCTTGATTATTTTATTTTCTCCTACTCTATTTTCTTACAAATTTCCTCACGAGTTACATTTTTAATTTGTTCTTAATTTATTGTAATATATCAACCTTCTGTATTACCGATTGAAAAGTTTCTGATCTCAGGCCATTTCTGTCAGTATTTGAACTTCAGATACTCATTAACCTAGGGAAACAAGCGATTAAATCTTTTTCTTCAAATTTTTCGATTGGACGATGCAAATGAAATATAAAGCAAAAGGAGGAATTTCAAAAATATCTCATTCAGTACAAAAGTTACTATAGCAATCGTGTTTTCCTGAACCTAACCTAAACCTTCAGAATAATTCACCTATCTTTTGTCGTTTCTTGAAAAGTTATTTCAGCTCGACATTGACGTATATCCACACATATGTTCAATACTTACTCGAGTTGAAAAATAGGGAGAACATTAAAAGAAAATTTTTGAAGAACAGTAGAGAGAATTCTTAAAGAACAATCTTAAGGAAGGAGGTGATCTTGACAAGTTCTTGGAGGACTATAGAAAAACAGGGCATGCCAAATACTGTGAAGCAACAATACTTAATCTTAGTAACAGAAGCTATGTTAAAAGTGAAAAAACTACATACATAAAAATCTAAAAGCTAGATATATATAGTGTTACATTAATGTAAAATATTTTATCAGTATGTGATTCATAAGTTTTTAGTTCATAATAAAGATATGTATCATAATATGTATAATAATATA